CCCCCCGACAGCCCCGGCGTGCCCCCCAACAGCCCCAGGTTCCCTCCGCGACAGCCCCTTGGGTGTCTGCCCCAGCAGCGCCGGGTACACGACCTGGCATCCCAAGGGTGCCCACCCTGACATCCCCGGGGTGCCCCTGACAATCCTGGGGTGCCCAGAGTGCCCTTCCCACTGCCTTGGGGTGCCCTGCAGTCACCCCCCAAAAGACCAGGGGTGGCCCAGCCTGGCAGCCACAGTGACCGCCCGACAGTCCCGGTGCCGCAGTGACCCCCGAGCCCCGTGGGCGCATGTGGGGGCTGAGCATGGCTGCAAGCTGTGCCACTGCCTGAGCCGTGGGGAGCCCAGACTGCTTGGGACCCTGTGCCTTCACTGGGGGACCAGTGGCTGGGTGGGTGCACAACGTCCCCCTGCCCCACAGCACAGGGCCGCGGGGCTGCGGCATTTCCCTGTGATGCTATAGGTCACTGTATGGCATGTACAGCACTGCGGGAGTCTGCGCCACAGCCTGCACCCAGGCAATGCAAAACCCGAAGCTGGCTCAGGAGACCCCTCGATCTTTAAAAGCCTGGTCTTTAGGGCACGCTACCACCTAAAAGAACCCTACCTGTAATTAAACTGCCCCATAAATCACACAGCAAATTTCATATGAACTCCAAGAGACCCTGACTTCTGTAATTTGAGGAATGTCTCTTATGAACATGACTTCTGCATGCTGCAATACTTTCAGCGTTTCTTCAAGCTACGGGTTTTTTCCTTATAAAGCTTGCCCCCATAGACAGCTCTGCCTCTGAGCCCTGAGTTCATAGAAGTGCCTTATAAATAATAAATACCGTCTTTGTAGCACCATCCTTGCTCTGGGCTATATCCTACAAGCTCTCCATGCATGAAGCTCTCTTTGAAGAGGAGGAACATGAGGAGCTTGCAGGGTTGGGTTTTATGTCACAGCGTGGTTCTTCAGCCTTCGGTGGGAGTTTGGCTTGAGTACAGCCTGGAGGTCTATATCCTGTTCCTGTGGGATACTTGTGTCTTTGGTGGAGAGAGAAAAGGATGGAAAGGTAGGAAATAACACTGTTTTGTTACAGGAGATAGGTTTTTTACATGACTCTTTACATGGTTTCTGTTGTCGTCCACCCATGGTGTATGACATGGTGTACCCAGCTTCAACATGTCCACCCAGGCATCCCAGGATATAACATCCACAACTTTTTGCCTTTAGATATTTTGGAAATCAATTCTATAATACTTAACACCGTCTTGCGTAGTTTCTGACCATGTGTCCTGGGGCTGGGTATAAACCTCAGAGTAAGACTGTACAGTCCTCATGTCATACACGTTTCCACTTTTCTGGCATTCCTCAGGCAGAAGAAAAACTCCCAGATGTTGGGTTTTGTACAAAACTCCCAACTGCCTCCATGAAAGTTAATGAGCGAGAGCAGAGTATTTATTGCCAACAGGCTGCTGGACAAGTGGGGCTTTCCCCCTTCTGCCGCTGGCCCTGCGATGTCCTGGAGCATGCTAAATGTGTCACCCAGCAGTTGGGCACAAGCTGTGAGTGGATCAGAGGCTTTTTATCATGAGTGGGTGAGCAGCATGGGAAGGCTACGCACTGTCCTGGTGGCCCAGGCAAAACCCCTGGCAGCAGAGGCAGACGAACCCTGTCAGGAGACACTTCCTAGGCAGAGCTTTGGTGCTCGGAGAGGGATGTGTTTGCAATGACAGGACAGTGGGACAAGCAGCAGTGCTCCTGTGTCACTGCTGTTGGGGACAGCTCAGCCAGAACAGCGCGGAACTGGAGGAAGGAGGTCGATGGCGTGCCAACCCCGAGTTTGGACCTATTTTGCCCCCTGATCCTGCCCAATCTCTCCGTGAAAATGAGCTCTGAGAGGACATTGGAAAGGTGCTTTGGCAAGAAATGTTTAAAAACACTGCCGTGTGCCACAGCCACTCTCCTTTTGACCCCCTTGCGAGCCCCGGCCCCGGCAGCGCCGTCCCCGGTGCCTACGCACGCCAACAAGTTGCAGTGGAAACAAAGGCAGTTCTTGCTTCAGATTCTTCAGAGATAGCAATATGTCAGGAGCCCCTGGAGAGGCTGAAAGTAAATGAATCAGTGCTAGAAAGTGAAGGATATCATCCGCGCTGAATGGTGAAAAGGAGTCCTGAACAGTATCTTCATTGATTTTCCTGTAATTGACACAGAAGCTCGGCTCGCCAGAGGCTGCAGGCGAGAGGAATGGGGAGGCCCAGGTACAGAGCTCCCTGCCCCGGATCCTGGGAACATTTCTCCTCAATTAGGTGGCTTATTTTTTGTGTGAAGCTGTGAAAGAGGCGGTGGGTTGGTAAGCCAGCATTTTCACTATTCACAGGGTGTTTTGCAAGCTGCACTGAAGACAAGGGGCAGAGAAGGATGTGTCCCGTGCCCTCACGTCACCAGCTGCTTCTCACCACCCCTGCAGTAGCGGTGAAAGCCCTGGCGTGCAGGTTACACTGAGTCCTTGGCTGATGATAAATACCCGTCCTTAAGTGAGCGCATTTGCTAGAAAATACAACAGTGACACACAGTAGGAAATTTGTAGGAATTACTGTTTAGATTAGATTTGAGGCTCTCCAAGGAGGAATGTGCCTTCCATATGGAACCTCTCTGCCTGCAGCTGCAGTGCCCTAGCATAGGTGACAGACCCTGCTCCCCGGGTGCTCGATGGACACCTTGCCCCGCCGGCCGGCACCCAAGCAGGGGATTTCTGAAAAGAGATGTCACCGCCGGCCCAGAGCAACTCACAGTAAGGAGTGCGTGCTCTTTCCAGTGGCTCTGATGTGCCGCACGTGCTTGGCCCCAACGAAGAGGTGCTGGATTTCCCTGCAGGCGATGTGTGCCTGGCAGGCGCTGGGTGGAGTGTTCCTCCAGACCTCTTTCAAGTCATAAAAAAATCAAATCTGCTGCAGCAAAACACAACCCGGCCACGACTTCCCTCCCTGTGCCCGAAGGAGGAGAGTGGTCCGCGGGGCTGGCAGTGCGCAGACCTCCTGCAGCCATCCCAGGCAGGCAGGGCTGGCACAGCCCTGGGGCTGCCGGGGCTGCTTGTTGTAACGAGAAACGGAGTCTGCAGTGGGTGTGGAGAGCAGGGTTTGGGAGAGGGAGAGGGTCTGGCTGTGACTGCGAGCAGCGTTAGCATCGTGTCTGGGGCAGCTGCCAGGGAGAGGTGGGTGCTGGGCAGGGCAGGAGGACCAGCCTGCAGGTCCTCACCAGCCATCAGCCATGAGCAGTGTTTGCCCGGTTGCCAATAAGAAAACAACCTCCAGCAGATGCATCTGACAGGATTTTTACCGAAGCTAGAAAAGAAATGTGTTTGAAACAGGGGCAAAGATTCAACCAGCTGGAGCAGAGGAGAGATGATGTTTCAGTGGAGGAGAAGCGCAGCTATACCACATAAAAGAAGCCAGGAGCATCAATTCGCTTTCAAGCCCGACCAAGAAAACACCCATTGGGTCGGGTGGGTGCTTAGGAAAGGTTCCTGACTTAAGGTTTTGACTTATTCATGGAAATGGGACATGGTCTTTTTAACTCTACAGGAAAGTTGTG